ACCTGAGTTCCAGACCAGCCTGGCCAATATGGTGAAACCCCCATCTCTACTAAAAGTACAAAAATTAGCCAGGTATGGTGGTGCTCACCTGTAGTCCCAGCTACTCAGGAGGCTGAGGCAGGACAATCACTTGAACCTGGAAGGTTGCGGCTGCAGTGAGCTGAGATTGTGCCACTGCACTTCAGCCTGGGTGACAGCGCAAGACTCTGCCAGGCGCCCCCCATCACGCCTGGCTAATTTTTTTGTATTTTCAGTAGAGACGGGGTTTCACTGTGTTAGCCAGGATGGTCTCGATCTTCTGACCTCATGATCCACCCGCCTCAGCCTCCCAAAGGGCTGGGATTACAGGTGTGAGCCACCGTGCCCGGCCTAGTTTTATTAAATTGTATCAGCCTTGGGGGAGGCCCTGGGACTGATCCATGTGAAGTCGTTTCACAAGCTACTCATCTTAGGGTTTAATGAAGCAAAGCAAGAGAGCAAAGTGTTGGGAGATGTTGTATCTTCCATCTGTCTGGAACTTGAGACAAGTGGGGACGGAGTGTCCTTGTGATCTGATGCATGAGGGAGTGCACAGGGAAAGGCTGAGACTCTCTGAGCAGCATGCAGAAGTCACTGCTTACTAAAGAGTTGTGGCAAATCATAAAATTTAGTATTTCCAGGCAGAAATTTTGCTCATGTGCGGGAAAAAGGAATATAAATAAGTAAAGTTAATCCATAAGCTTGTGTGCTATATAAAATGTCTTTTGTAATAAAAGAAAAATTACCCTGGGGGGTCTCTGGTAATGAAAATGTTTACCGGGCGTGGTGGCTCACGCCTATAATCCCTGCACTTTGGGAAGTCAACACAGGTGGATCACCTGAGGTCAGGAGTTCGAGACCAGGCTGGCCAACATGGTGAAACCCCATCTCTACTAAAAATATGAAAATTAGCTGAGCGTGGTGGCCCATGCCTGTAATCCCAGCTACCTGGTAGGTTGAGGCAGGAGAATTGCTTTAACCCAGGAGGCAGAGGTTGCAGTGAGCTGAGATGGTGCCACTGCACTCCAACCCGGGCGACAGGGTGAGACTCCATCTCAAAAAAAAGAAAGAAAAAGAAAAAGAAAAAGAAAATGTCTAAGTGTCTCTCTTGGGTCATTTAGCAGTGAGCCACCAGGAAGCAAGAGGGTGGGTGGAAGAACTCTGAATGCACGCTGTGATGAAGGGACCTCATACAGAGCCTGACGCAGAAGCTAGGCACTTTAGCACAGTGTATCTGTGGCCCCGGCAAGCTGAGAGCTAGGGTCCGAATCCCTAACCCAGGGACAGGCTGCACTGTGTGTGGGGAAAAGGGTGACTGACAGAAGACACAGGTAAAGGCTGCTTTTTCTGATTCTAGGAAAGCCATCTTTTTCTGATGCCTGTGAGGCCATAGCCAATGGCAATATCCTTGTGTTTGTCACCCCTCTGAATTGCATCTGGGCCACAAGCACACACCCAGTGCCTCATGTGAAGCCTGGAGGCTTTGACCTCTCCTTCAGTATAGCTGATTTGCTCTTGCTTTGCTAAGTTGTGCAATAACTGTGATTGCACCCTTATTTGATGATGTGTGTTTCGGTAACCAGGGAGAGAGTGCTGCTTTGCCAATCCTAGGTTAACACTGACCCCTTTCCAAGAACTGTTCAGTAAATCCCCAAGCCAGTTTTTATGCACTGGGTAATTGTCTTTTGAACTTCTCAGTGGGATAGGAGTTCGTGGGATTCCAGTGAGAAATAAAGGCAATGGCTCTCAGTGACATGCAAGCATTCCTGGAATCAGCATGGTGACCTCCCTATGCCTATGCTGAGCTGGCTTATTGAGTGTGAGCTACGCTGCAGGCCCCACAACCCAGCTGCCTCGCTAAGAGAGAATTAAGGAACTTCCCTGAAGGCTAAGACCTTGGGCACTTGGCTCAGATGCATGTTTTGGTCACAGATAGCATTCTGGACTCACGTAGAGTCTTTTCAAGACTCTAGAATGAGGCTGGGCATGGTGGCTCATGCCGATTTTGAGAGCATTTTGGGAGGCCAAGGTGGGCAGACCGCTTAAGTCCAGGAGTTCGAGACTAGTCTGGGCAACATGGTGAAACCCTGTCTCTACAATAATACAAAAATTAGCCAGGCATGGTGGTGGGTGCCTGTAATCCCACCTACTCAGGAGAGTGAGGCACGAGAATCGTTTGAACTGGGGAGGTGGAGGCTGCAGTGAGCCAAGGTCATGCCATTGCACTCCAGCCTGGGCAACAGAGTGAGACCCTGTCTCAAAAAAAAAAAAAAAAAAAAAAAAGAAAACCACGATGTCCTCGAAAGACAAGACTAAGGGAGTATATCAATTCTAGAGGATATTGGCTTTTTAGCACAAGCATTAAAAAGCAAAGGTATCTTGCTTATTTTTCTTCAAACATTTAAGAAACATACGCCAGGCACAGTGGCTCACACCTGTAACCCCAGCACTTTGGGAGACCTTGGCAGAAGGATTGCTGAGGTCAAGAGTTCGAGACCAGCTTAGGAAACATAGTGAGATCCCCCCCCTTTATAAAAAATAAAAAGTTACCCATGCTGGCACATGCCTGTAGTCCCAGCTACTCAGGAGGCTGAGGTAAGAGGACCCCTTGAGTCCAGTTCGAGGCCAGCCTGGGCGACAGAGCAAGACCCTGTCTCTTTAAAAAAAGAGAAACATTTATTGAATACATACTTTGTGGCAGAAAATGATGTTGACTCTGGGATACATCAATGGACTAAATCATTCTAGTGGGGCCCCTAAACATAAGTTCTTTGTTTCTGCCTGCCCTGTCCCGTTGTCTCCTCTAGAGGTAATCTGGGGACAAGCATGAGATGAACTTGTTTTGAGGAACCCTGTTAAGAGGCTGTATGATGCAGAAGGGCTGTGTGAGTTTGGGGCCACCCACAGGCTTCAGTGGTCTAGCATCTCTTCTGCTTGCTGCTCACACTATCTGAACAGCTCATTTTGACTGATGTGCTTTGGGTTTGGGGTATAAAATGGTCAACATTTCAGAAGCCCATGAGCCAACCAACTCTCCAAGACTTTTGTGATCACACACTCTGCATTTGCAAAGTTGAACCAAAAATTTAGTCTGGATAAGGTCTTCCTTTCCACACCTACCAGCCCCCCACTTAAGAGTCTGGCCAATAAGTGAAGACACAAACCTTAGGAAGAGGGGTGTGGTTAATTTCTAAATTCTTATTTGAACAAATTATTTATGAAGCACTGACTCTGTACCAAACACATTCTAGGTAGTAGGGATGTAAGGGTGAACATAACAGAATACAGAGCCTGTCTTCAGAGAACTGACATGCTATTGAGGGTTGGGGAAAGGAGGAGAATAAAAGCGATGCTCATCAATGTTGTCTACAAACAGCACTTTTCAAATTCTAATATGCTTATGAAAACAGATTGCTGGGCTCCAAGCCCCGAAATGGATTCAATAGATCTGGGGTTGGTCAGAGAATTTATATTTCTAACAAACTCTCATGGGATGCTACTCAAAGTGCAGTTTGTATGAATCATAGAACTCCAAGGTCACAACTACCTGTAAGATGAAAAATTTAGTACCTTGTGTCATGCGTGAGTGACAACTATCTGGGCTGGTGGCACGGGGGTAAAATAATTTGCCAAGACAGTTGTAGGTAAAGAATGGCAGATTTATTAGATAAAGTATGAAAATACATTTCAGGAAAGCAATGGGCAGCCAGGAAGGGACGAGCTGACTGCAAAGAAACAAAGGCTTGCTGGATATTTTATAGCATAGTGTTTATGCTGTATGATGAAGAGGGCTTTGTGCAATACTGATAATGCCAAGGCTGCAGTGAGCTAACTTGCAATTTTCTATCAGCCAAGGGTCTGGTGATAGCTGGGCACAGGAAGAGTGTGAGTTATCTGCATAAGAGGGCTATGTGTCCCGGACTGTGAAGAAAGGCAGACTTGTAGCTTATCTGCTTTCTCTTTTTGCTTTCTCCTGATTCTACCAGCCTGACTCCTTTTCTCTAATTAGGATTCCACACCTTGCTTGCCCTTCAAAGTGTGGGCTGGGCACAGTGTGGCTCACATCTATAATCCCAGCGCTTTGGGAGGGTGAGTCAAGAGCATCGCTTGAGCCCAGGAGTTTAAGACCAGCCTGGGCAACATAGTGAGATCCCATCTCTACAAAAAGTGGTGCAGCACATCCAGCCTCGTGCTCCTTGTTTTCTGGACAGTTTCCTTTTGTTGTGTTTGATTTCCTTCTCTCAAGTAGTCATTCAGTTTCCACAGTGAATCCTGGCTGGCACACTAGAGTATACATTAATCTCTGAGCCTCCCAGGGTGAGTGCTAGCAGGCCTGAACACATACTTGAAAGGTTGTGCTTCCCTTGCCTCCTGTTCCAGCTTCCTACCATCCAAACTACACAAATCAGCAAGTACCTCTTCCAAATTTGTTTTTTTTAGTTAGCAGGGTCTCGCTCTGTTGCCCAGGCTACAATGCAGTGGTACAGTCATAGCTCACTGCAGCCTCCAACTCCTGGTCTCAAGTGATCCTCCCACCTCAGCCTCCCAACTAGTTGGGACTACAGGCACATGCCACTACACCCAGCTAATTATTAAACTTTTTGTAGAGATGGGATCTCACTATGTTGCCCAGGCTGGTCTTAAACTCCTGGGCTCAAGCGATGCTCTTGACTCACCCTCCCAAAGCGATGGCATCGAAGGTGAGGTGAGGGCAAAGCGTAGTTCTGAGGACCTGACCTGGAGGCAGAGTGGAGACACCTCTCCCTTCAGATGCCTACCTGGAGTTCAGGGTTTCCTGGGTTCTGATCTGCCCTGAACCAAAAGGTAAGGCTTAGAAAACCCAGAGAGGAGGTTTTTTGTTTCCTGGTGGCTAGGCTGCAGGGGTGGGATCGAAGGCAAACCCAGGGCAGAATGCTGCAGGTGCACCAGCCTAACTGGTGTCAGGCCTCCGGCATCTGAGTGGAGGAGGGGCTGGGACTTACCTGCCTCAGCTTGTTTCGGTTCCTCAATATTTTCTTCACTGTTGTGCAGAACCACACAGTCTGGGAGTTGGAGGAGCTGAAAGGAGACGTTAAGAGAAAGGGCTGCAAACACAGGGGTGTTTGAGAGATCCCCTTTGGGGGACAATGGGAAGCTCTCCTTTGTTTCATCCCAACACACGTTAAGAATGTAACCCTGGACCAGGGGACTAGCTATGGAAATGGACAGGAAAGGGCAGGCTCACAAAGTGAGGAGAAAGGGAAAAAACCCCACAAGATGATCAAAAACACTGTAGAGGGTGGACATTGGAAGCTATCTAAGGCCAACTTCTCATTTAAAGAAAGTAATGATTATAACATTTTTGAGGGCTTTCTTCATGCTAGGCTACTCTAATTGCTTTAAATTTGTTAAGTCATTTAATCCCTCGAACATCCCCATGAACATTACTGGCCCCAGTTTATAGATGAGGCAATAGAGGTTAAGCAATCTGCATTTGCCTGAGGTCCCAGGTCGTGAATTGCAGGATCTCTTTACCCTTCATGTTCCGTTCGCAACTCAGTCAGTTAAGTCCCTTTGACCCGGTTCTCACCTTCTTAAGAGCAGAAGGGCCATTTAAAAGACAAGACCTTGAGGCCCGGCACAGTGGCTTGTGCCTGTAATCCCAGCACTTTGGCAGGCTGAGGCAGGCAGATCACCTGAGGCCAGGAGTTTGAGAGCAGTGTGACCAACATGGTGAAACCTCATCTCTACTGAAAATACAAAAATTAGCCAGACATGGTGGTGAGTACCTGTAGTCCCAGCTACTCAGGAGGCTGAGGCACAAGAATTGCTTAAGCCTGGGAGGTAGAGGTAGCAGTGAGCCGAAACGGCACCACTGCACTCCAGCCTGGGTGACACAGCGAGACTCCATCTCAAAAACAAAACAAAACAAAACAAAAAAACCCAAAGGAATAAAAGATAAGGTCTTGGGTAAGCATAGGCATAGGCATAGAATAAAGGTGAACCCCCCAAAAAAATTAAAGAAAAAGAAAAGATAAGGCTTGGAGACACCTGCATTCTCCTCCACCTGAGATACTGTCCACCCTCCAGTTCTGCTGAATCATGTGGCAACATGATGCCAACGTTGCTGGCAATGTCCATAAGGGAACCCTTCTGAATATGATCCAGGAGGCAGGCACCATCACCAGCCCCTGGCATGCAATAGCCAGAATGAAGATGCTGCTGGTCACTCTGGCCTGTGTGAAGCACACCAACTTCCTGCGGCCCGGGTACATCAGCGAGGTAGCTGATGCCTGTCATCCTAGCACTTTGAGAGGCTGAGATGGGAGAATGATTTGAAGCCAGGAGTTCAAGACCAGCCTAGGAAATATAGCAAGACCCTATCTGTACAAAAAAAATTTAAAAATTACCTGGGCACTGTGGCATGTGCCTGTAGTCCCAGCTGCTCAGGAGGCTGAAGAAGGAGGATCCCTTGAGCCCAGGAGTTCAAGGCTGCAGTGAGCCCTGGTTATTTCACTGCACTCTGGCAAGAGCGACGGAACAAAACCCTGTCAAAAACAAAACAAAACAAAAAAGACAAAACTCTGTCTTACTAATATGACTTTGCTTGTTTTTGAGACAGAGTCTCACATTTCCACCCAGGCTGGAGTGCAGTGGCACGATCTCATCTCACTGCCACCTCTGCCTCCAGGTTCAAGTGATTCTTGTGCGTCAGCCTGCCAAGTAGCTGGGACTACAGACATGCACTACCACGCCAGGCTAATTTTTGTATTTTAGTAGAGACGGGGTTTCACCGTGTTGTCCAGGCTGGTCTCGAACTCCTGTCCTGAAGTGATCTGCCCATCTGAGGCTCCCACATGCTGGGATCACAGGCATGACCCACTGCACCTGGCCTAATATGACTTTGGTGAGAAAGAAAAGAAAGACCATGGTTATAGACTGAATATTTTTCCCCTCCCCACAAATTCATGTTTGAAGCTCTAACCTTCAATGTGATGGTATTTGGAGATGGGGCCTTTGAGAGGTGAGTTCACTCACACACGTGCACATTCTCTCTGCCATGTAAGGACACAGGAAAAAAAGCAGCTGTTTGCGAGGAAGACAGCCCTCATCAGGAACTAAATCAGCTGGCACCTTGATCTCAGACTTCCAACCTCCAGAACTGCAAGAAATAAATTTCTGTTGTTTAGGCCACCCAGTCTGTAGTATTTTGTCATGGCAGCCCAAGCTGACTAATATAACGACCATTAACAGTCTGAAACTGGGCCAGGGACAGTGGCTCACACACATAATCCTAGCACACTGAGAGGTCAAGGTGGGAGGATCCCTTGAGACCAGGTTCAAGACCAGCCTGGGCCACATAGTGAGACCCACATCTCTATTTTAAAAAAACAAACCAAACCAAACCAAACAAAAAGACTGGTCTGAAACTGGGGCTATCGGAGCTGAACACTGAAAGCACTATAGCTACAGCAAAGAAGTAGACTATTATTTAGGGCAATATTTTGAGTTCAGTCTCTGGCTGGCTCAGAGAGGAACTATAAACTCCTCTTTGCCATTGGTAGCCTTTAGGCTACACATCACTCGTGCTGGCGAGACTAGTTTCAAACAGATTCAAAATGGATTGCATATGATTCTAGAGGGTCTAGGGTCATTTAATAAAGGTGCTACTATGCACATGCTTGAAGCTTGGTGAGTTGTTTCTTTAATTCTTATAGCAGATGGTGAATCGATCTTTGCTGAGAGCCTCATACATTTCAATGGGATGAGCAAAGTAGGTGAGGAAGATAGAGACCCTCATGTGATCACACTCGCTTCATTGGCTGGGACTCTCATCCTCAACATTTCCTTATGTTGAACAGAAATTCACTTTCTATGGATCACATCTGCACTTTGAAGGACACAGAGCAAAGGACCTTCTCTTCCCACTGACAAACTTTAGACTTCTGCTTTTAAGACAAAAACAAATAAACAAAACCCCCCAACCCCCCCCACCAAATTCATTCTGGCATATGTCAGTTTCCAGGCCCCATCACCCTGATCAATCCGCACTGATTTGCCAACATTCATTTAAAAATATGGCACTACAAATGGAAAGTTCTTTTCTCCAGTGGCTCAGGAAAGACAGTCATGCTGCGTGCATGATGTCTGAGCAAGGCAGAGGGAGAGAGAAATGGAGATGATTTTAAGGAAGTAAGCTAAAAGACTAAAAGATGGCATCGAAGGTGGCATTGAGAGTACAAAGAACTGGGAATCATGGCTCAGATGTAAGATGATTGGGGGTTTGCTATGTCTCCAAGTGGGAAACAGGAAATACAGACCTGGAGGAACAGTAAGAAATTAGGATGAAAGGTATAATTTAAAGGGTCTTCAGCCTGGATATAGGAAGTGGTGGCGAATTCATTAAGGAATGCGGAAAACTCTTACTGGTGGAATGTCTAGGATAGTCAGGCTGTATCAGATGTTTTCTTGGCATTAGTGTAATCTGATCTTTCCCACGATTTCATAAGGTGGGAATTAACTGCCCTAATGAAGAGGGTGAGGCTGATGAAAGTTAGGTAACTCACCCAGGGCCATCCAACTACTAAGTGGAAGGGCTGGGATTCCAACTTAAGGGAGTTCTCAGGGAGTGTAACAAGCACTTCAAGAACTTGTTCCCAAACCAGTGGTGTCAGGTGAAAATCACAGAGGAGTGGCAATGTGTGAAGGTTTCCCAGGTGGCCTGGAGACTGCAGATTTAATGCTTATGAAATGGAAGTCTACAGTTTGTTGGTAGTCCAGATAACACAGTGTACAGTGGTTAGAAATATAGGCTTTGGAGAGACCTGACTACAAATAACAGCTCTTTCCCTTGCTTGTATGTTCATGGGCAAATTTTTCCACTTCTTTCTTAGTTTCTTCATCTATAAAATGCTATTAATAATACCAGCATTGAAGCATTGTTACAACTAAAATTGTATAGCTTTGTATACCTGTATACAAAACTGTATAGTTTGTATAGAGGTCATCTATATAAGCAAAATTTATGTAAAGTGTATTTTATAGATAAGAAGTGTTGAATGTATATGCATTCAACAAAGGGTAGCTATTTCATTTTTCTTTTCTTGTCTTTTCTTTTTTCTTTCTTTCTTTCTTTTTTTTTAAGGCAGAGTCCCGCTCTGTCACCCAGGCTGGCGTGCAGTGACATGATCTTGACTCACGGGCAATCTCCGCCTCCCGGGTTCAAGCGATTCTCCGCCTCAGCCTCCTGAGTAGCTGGGATTACAGATGCACACCATGCCTGACTAATTTTGTATTTTTTTTTTTAGTAGAGACAAGGTTTCACAACATTGGCCAGGCTGGTCTCGAACTCCTTACCTCGTGATCCACCCGCCTCAGCCTCCCAAAGTGCTAAGACTACAGGTGTGAGCCACTGCACCCGGCCCACGGGTAACTATTTCCTCTGTGCAAATTATTCATTTGTCCCTGGTACTCGACCTCAAGTCTCTTTTTAAAATGAGTAATAGGTATGATGACATTATAATGTGTCACCTTGCCTAGATTGAACTACATTTCTCCAAATTCCCTTCCCGACATGTTTCCAGTTAGGATGGTACACAGAGAGATTTTTGTGGGAGACTTTGAGGGCAGAAGTGAAGCAACAGTCATTGTGTAGCTCACACACTTTGTCACTGAGTTACTGGCCTGCTTCACTGGTGTGAGCCAAAGCCAGGCCTGCAGCTGCCCCGACTTCTCCTCCAGCATCTCTGACTTCTGGGCTAGGTGTATGTGTTTAGCTCTGTGACAAAAGGTCCCAGCTTCAGCAGGATATCCACACCGTCAAGGTCAGAGCCACAAGGACCGACAGGGCTTGCATTCCCTCCGTGTGGTCCATGCTGGTTTTCTCCCATGTCACCTCCAGCTCTCCTCCAAATGGCCTGCCCTGAGGACTACATATCTTTCTTAGTGAGGGTTGCCAGATTTAGCAATGACAAATCTGGACGGCCAGGCAAATATGAATTTCAGTTTAACATGAAATAATTTTTTATGGTAAGTAGTATGTTTCTCTGAAATTCAAATTTGACTAGGTATCCTTCTTTTTTTTTTTTTTTTTTTTTTTTGGTCTTTCCTAAATCTGGCCACCCTAAGAGAGTAAGAGAATAAGCATCTTGAGAAAGGTAAGTTTGCTGGGCAGAACCCAGTTGAGGCTGGTGACTGAATTTATGATACCAATGAATACCCAGTCGAGTGCTTTTCTCCAGCAGAGCTTAGCTGCCAAGGTGTAAGTAAGGTGGAAGACGAGCACTGGGTTTATCCAAAGGTGGGATTTTATCAGTTAAGACACACAAAAGAATTTATGGCAGGGTTTCCAAACTTGAGTTTGCAACTGGATCACCTGGAGCACTCCTTAAAACAGATTTCTTAAAACAGTTAAAAATGTTTTTTGTTTTTTTTTTTTCAGACAGAGTCCCGCTCTGCTGTCCAGTCTGGACTGCAGTGGCGCGATCTTGGCTCACTGCAACCTCCACCTTCTGGGTCCAAGTGAACCTCCTGCTGAAATTATAGGCACCCGCCACCACATCCGGGTAAGTTTTCTGTATTTTTTGTAGAGATGGGGTTTCGCCATATTGGCCAGGCTGATCTCGAACTCCTGACCTCAAGTGATCTGCCCGCCCCAGCCTCCCAAAGTGCTGGGATTACAGGCGTGAGCCACCTCGCCTGGCCTTAAAACAGAAGTTTGGATTCAGTAGGCATAGGGTGGGGCCCAGCAATTTGCATTTTCAATACAACTGGTCCGGGGACCACACTTTGAGACTCCCAGGAGTAGACTGAAATGGGGGGAACCTCAGGATCTAAAGTTGCTAAGGAGAGACAGTAAGGCTTGGAGGAGGCTGATGGGGTACATGGGCTATGTGAATGGGAATGCATATGCTCCTTGCCTTCACAGTGAGCAGAGGTTTGTGCTGGTGCACTTTGAGGGGTTTTGTTTTCTCCTCTCCATCTATTATTTCCTCTGTCCTAATTTTGGACTCTGTCCTTCCTCTAATACTGGCATCTGCCTCCCTTTTAACCAGGCAATTTTTGGGAACTCTGGTGTCATAAAACTGGTGTTTCTTCTGATTTGTGAGAAGCTAGGCATCAAAACAAGTGAAGGTGGCTGGGCATGGTGGCTCACGCCTGTAATCCTAGCAATTTTTAAGGCCAAGGTGGGCAGATCACTTGAGGTCAGGAGTTGAAGACCAGTCTGGCCAACATGGCAAAATCCCGTCTCTACTAAAAATACAAAAATTAGCTAGGCATGGTGGCGTATACCTGTAATCGCAGCTACTCGGCAGCCTGAGGCCTAAGAATTGCTTGATCCTGGGAGGCAGCGGTTGTAGTGAGCCGAGATCATGCCACGGCACTCCAGCCTGAGCGACAGAACTAGACTCCATCTCATAAAACAAAACAAAACAAGTGAAGGTAACGAGGCCACAACTGGTAATGACTGCTCTGGAAAAAGCATCCAAATTATTACTATGTTTTTCTTCCTTCTGAGAAAGTGACTAGAAGTTGAAAGGGCAAAGAAGGGCCAGACGTGGTGGCTCACGCCTGAAATCCCAGCACTTTGGGACGCCAAGGCGGGTGGATCACCTGAGGTCAGGAGTTCAAGACCAGCCTAGTCAACATGGTGAAACCCTGTCTCTACTAAAAATATAAAAATCAGCCAGGTGTGGTGGCAAGTGCCTGTAATCCTAGGTACTTGGGAGGGTGAGGCACGAGAATCGCTTGAACCTGGGAGGCAGAGGTTGCAGTGAGCCAAGAGTACACCACTACACCTGGGTGACAGAGTGAGACTCTGTCTAAAAAAAGAAAGGGCAAAGAAGGAAAACTGAGAGAAAGGAGAAAGGAAGCCAGGCTGTTGTTGCCAGGTGAAGATCTTCAGGAACCAAAATATTCCCCTTAGGAATCTTCATTGCCAAGTCCTTAGAATCTTTGGTTATTTCATGGAAAAACTCATTTTGTCCAATTCTCAAATGAATATGGCCTTAAGTGCAAAGGACCTAGACTTTGTTAAGCATGGTAGTTGCTGGACTGTTACTTTCCATGGGAAATAGATGTGCAAAATATGTAAAGTGTTCCATTTATTTTTAAGTGTGTACTTTTTATTTCTTTATGCTTTTATGTATCTTCTAAATTTTCTACAGGTATGATTTTCCTTCACTTATTTTAAACTTTTATTTTGAAATAATTTCAAATTTACAGAAGAGTTACAAAGATAGTACAGACAATTCTCGCATATACCTTTTACTTAGACATCTTACATAACCATGGTACATTTATGAAAACTAAGAAATTAACATCTGTACAATACTATTAACTAAACTACAAATCTTGTTTGGATTTCACCAGTTTTTCCACTTACATCCTTTTTCTGTTCCAAGATCCATTGCAGGATAGCACATGGTATTTAGGGAATTTCTTCTATAATTTAAAAAAAAAAAGGCATACATCTCCTCCCTTTCTATGAGGGCATTCCTTACTGTTTTAGCAAAGGAATAAAGAGGAAAGTGTCTTTTATTGACCATGGAGTACAGGGAATACATGGAGATAGACATCTCTTTGGTAAACTGAGAAAGGAGGTAGGAGGAATTTTAAATAACTATCATGAAAAATCCTCATAAAGTTCAATCACACAAAGAAATATGGCCATACGGTGGGTGGGAAAAAAAGATAAAATACTTGGTTTCAACATGTAAAACTATGCAGAACATTCATGGAATAATTTTGACACATAAATCTCTGTATCACATAGTGTTTTCACAAATAGTTTCTTTTTAATTTTTAGGGCTGGTTACTTGTATTTTCCTAAGAGGCCTCAATGTGCTCAGAAATGTCACTTTTTAGATTCTACAAAAAGAGTGTTTGGAACCTGGCGAATCAAAATACAGGTTCCAATCTGAGATATTAAACAGCACATCAGAATGTATTTTCACAGATAGCTTGTTTATTGTTTTTAGGGCTGGATATTTTTTTCCTAATAGGCCCCAATTGGCTTAGTAATGTCACTTCGTAGAATTACAAAAAGAGTGTTTGGAACCTGGTGAATTAAAACACAGGTTCCAATCTGACAAAGTGTTTTCACAGAGAGCTTGTTTCTGGTATCTAGGACTGGATATTCATTTTTTCTTTGTAGGTTTCAGTGGGCTCAGAAATATCACTTCGTAGAGTCTACAAAAAGCAGGTTTGGAACTTGGTGAATGAAAACACAGGCTCCATTCTGTGATATAAAATAGCACATCACAAGCCGTTTTCACAGATAGCTTGTTTCTAGTTTTTAAGGCTGGACATTTGTTTGTTCCTATAAAGCCTCTATGGGCTTAGAAATGTCGCTTCGTAGATTCCACAAAAACAGTGTTTGGAACCTGTTCAATCAAAGTACAACTTCCATTATGTGATATAAAACAGCAAATCACGAAGAGTTTTCACTGATAGCTTGTTTCTAGTTTTTAGGGCTGGATATTTTTTTTTTCCTAATAGGCCTCAATGGGTTCAGGAATGTCACTTCGTAGATTCTACAAAGGGATGGAACATGGTGATTCAAAACACATGTTCCATTCTGTAATATGAAACAGCAAATCACAAAGCATATTCACGGATAGTTTGTATCTATTTCTTAGACCTGGATATTCATTTTTTCCCATAAGGCCTCAATGGGCTCAGAAATGTCACTTCGTAGATTCTACAAAAACAGTGTTCGGCATCTGGTGAATCAAAAACAGGTTTCATTCTGTGATAGGAAACAGCACATCAAAAAGCATTTTCACTGATAGCTTGTTTCTACTTTTAAGGACTGGATATTTGTTATTTCCTAATAGGACTCAATGGTCTCAGAAATGTTGCTTCAGAGATTCTACAAAAAGAGTGTTTGGAATCCGGTGGATAAAAACACAGGTTCCATTCTGTGATACTAAATAGCACATCAGGAAGTGTTTTCGCATATAGCTTGTTTCTTGTTTTTAGGGCTGGATATTAGTTTTTTCCTAATAGGCAACAATCGGCTCAGTAATGTCCCTTTATAGAATCTGCAAAAAGAGTGTTTGGAAGCTGGTTTATTTAA